TAACCCAGCAAGCCACCATAAGTATGTCATAAACTTTTATTAAGAAAACTGTCGTCATATTCCTTGTGACGATAATATTTCATTTCATCGTCTAAGTATCATCCAGATCTAGTACCAATGGAGGTTTAATATCCAACAGTAGACTCAGAGAAATAATTTAATTGATTTAACCAGATTTCAACTAAATCTCAGGTTTAAGTGTTCTTACTTAAATCTTCTGACTTAATCATGTTGGTTTAACCATATCACATGTAAGTTTTTCTATATTCTTTGCCACATCAGCTGAAATTACACTCACAAAATGGTCAGGTCACTTTAAGTAGTATGTGGTTAGAGCATATTTTTCTGAGTGCATAAAATACATCAATTAACTTACCGGGTTAAACTTAACACCAAAGTTAAAAACTCAAAATCCCTAACTTAACCATTGATCCCGTTTGGTGTATAAAATGTCATTGTTGGTTTGCTTTCATAATAACTGTTTATCAATGATTTATGAAAATTAATTAAATATTCATAAAAAATTGAACACTAAGAAAATTAATAGATTATTTAATTAATTAATAAGCCTAGTAGAAATACATTTGCTTCAAAGTGATATCGTTTAAAGACTAAGTCACTTGCTAATTTGCATTGTATAAATTAATTTGCTAATATTTACTGCTGCATTTATTAATGCAAAGCTGCTAATTGTGACCCTCTTCTCATCACGAGCCCACCAAACAATCATTCATTAATTTATGAGTGCATAAAAGCCATCCTCGAACACTGCCTTGCCAACGTTTTAATCCTTTTATCGCTTCATGTGTGCCTTTCAAGTGTGGTAAGTAAATGTAAGACAAGTCTCATGCCTAGCATGAGGAACCCGTGTTTTTATTAGCAGTGTAAGCGCATGTAGAAGATCTTTTCGCAATGATAAATTAATCGCTAAGAGTATTTTCGTGTTCATGTAGGACAATCCAACGTCAAAACTTGGAGATTGATTGTACTGGCAACTCGTATTTGTAGGATATGTCAAATATTTCGTATATTTCGTGGCAGTATTGTCAACAGTGTGGGTTCGTTCATATGAGCATAAATACACCCGTACAGGTTAAAGCAGTCCAAATACTTAAGAATATATATTAGTATATATTTTAGTATATATTTCATAAGAAACAGTAACTAATATACATTATAATAATAGATAACTTATGAATATTAAAATGCATTTAAAATGTATTTAAAATTTACTTTCGATTATTATGTGAAATAACAACACTCGCTACCTTTTACTCAAAAAAACTTACAAGTTATCAAATCTAGATACCACCAAGTAATGTCCACATATTGTATGTTCATTTCAAACAAGTATTTTTGTAGCAACGAACCTTAACAAATAATTCCAGGAAGAGTAAATGACGTAAACTCAATACAATGATTCCATTGCCACTGTATGACAATATTCATAATGAATCCACTCGAGCGTAGTCGAGCAAGACAAAAAGTTGCAATTTGAATTTGCCAACGGCGCAGAGGATGCCAAGCCTCATGTTGAACATATTTCCAGAAGCCAACAGGTGCCAACGCAATGTGATCAATCATTGGGAATCGATTTTTAATTAAGAACTCTTGTTAGCATATGTCACTATCTGGTATTTAAATCAGCTATCGAGTTGACGATGATTGGTGGGTGACAATTGGCTAGGCTGATAGAAGCGATTGCGTTTAGACTTGCTTGTAAATCCTTGATTGTTGTACTCACATCGCATAATCGAAGTGGGGCTGGCGGTTCTCTGGTACAATAAAAACTTTTAACGTTCTGTGGTTGATCCTTTAGAACAACGGCAGCAAAAAACATTTTGTGGTTTTGGTAATTAAAGTTGTCCTAATTAGTTGACAAAGAAGAATGACTAAGCACGAAGGAACTCCGTTAATTGCTTTTTACTTAATATATACAATATATATGTATATACTTATATATATTTTTATTTTTAGTTACGAAAAAATGTGAATAGAAGTTTTGTGAATTGTCACGAGAACATATTCCTAGAGTATGTAGAATAAAATAGAGCGATTATATGAGCTATTTTCATAATATTCTTAATTAAATTTATATATGTAAAATACAATAAATATTTATATAATATTTATTTTTTTATAAATATTAAAAATCATGTTAGAAAATTTGAATTCAATACCAATATTGTCGATAGGTAGTCTGAAAGTAATTCAGTAAGCGGATTAGTGAGTAAAAGAGTTCGACTTGAAGTAGATAAATCATCTGTAGAAAAATTGAGAAAATAATAAACTTTTTAAAAATAAATTGTATTAACAGCGTTTTAAAATAGGAGAAACTACTATAATATCATGTTTCACCCGATGTCACAAGTAAGCTAACAATTTTTTGATTGATATATGGAAACATATTATTTTGAGAAACATTCCTATTATTAATTGTTATTTTAATTGATAAATACTAATTTAATTCTGTTTTTGATTTTAATGCCTTTCTAGTATTCGCACATCTTTTTTTAAAAATTATTTGTCGGGTCTTCTGGTCGACTATCACTTCAAACAAAGAGATTTCTCTTGAAGTTATCGAACTAGCAGTAATCACGGGACACAGTGTATTAAAACTAAAATTAGTGGATCAAAATTTGATAGTTTCTGAACCAGAAGAGATATTGAATATATTATTAACCTTAAATATAGTTTTTTAAAATGGAGTTTCTTTTGAACGTCCAATCTTACTGAATAAACTTACTGGAACCTATCCAAACTTGGGCTGAAACATGATCAACTTTTCAATTTCTTTTAATACTTAAAAAACTTATATAGGTATAAATATGAAATTTGCTGTGCTAAATACTTGTACCTTTTCATATTAAGATCTAAAAGAATTTATAAAGTTCCGCCCACGGCAACACCTTCAACCATACAAAATGTTCATAATAAATTATTTATTAGTTTTAAAAAAGAGTTTTACTTCTATTTATATATATTATATATATAAAAATAATTCTTCATGGAAAAAATTTTTTGTATTTGCAGTTTTATAAAACTTTATTGCACCAATTTTGTATGACTTTCCAACAATTGCTGTGACATCATTTTTAAGTTCCCTTTAACAATTCTTTCAAGCATCTGTCATCTATATCATCATCCACCTTCTTGTTGGTTTACCTTCTTTCCGGAATTGGCAAATATTTAGTAGGAGTAAAAGGAAAGTGTTAGTATTCCTTAAATATCCCTATAATTTTCTTTTAGATTTATTTTTCTCAATTGCTTGGAACTGTTAATAACAAGGACTGTAAATAATACATCAGCTGATTAGGCTGTATGCGCATCTTTAACTTTTCGATCACTCTCTTGTAGAATCATTCACCCTATGGTACAGTTTCGGCTATGACTCGTTGGTCAGAGCCAAATCTCTTTTTCTGGATCATTTTTTAAGGTCTTCGAACAAGTCATAATCGCTGGGGGTCAAATCTGGAGAACACGGTAAGTGTGGAAGCAATTTTAAGTGAATTCTTATAATTAAATTCTTAGCCATGGTAGCCAAGGACTTGTAACACCGCGCCCTGTCTTGAGAAAGTGTCTTGAAAAGTCTTGTTCTTATCGCTAGACTATATAGCGATCGCTATTAATGATCTGATCTTTTTTAAAATAGTCGATGAACAAAAATTATGAGTATCCCAAAATACAGAAGACATATCTTTGCCTGTTGACTGTTGCGTATTTGGTCACTTTGGGCGATGTTCACCGACTGGTGAGGTGTCCACTTTTTATGTAGCTTTAGCAGCTTCAATTAGCTATTGGAATCATCGATATGGTGTTGTTTTTGGACAATTGTCAGCAATTGTGGCACCCACTTCGAAAAGGATTTTCTCATAGGCAAATGTACGTGTAAAAGGATACCAACACATTCCTTTAAAATCATAAAGGTTTATTTAAGATATACTACAACTGCACCGTAAAGTAGGAAGTCTTTGAGATCGCAACTCAAAAAGCTGAAATCTCCGCCACAAAGATTTTGTGGACTTTTTTGACCAAGTAACTAGATATTTGTGGGTCGGTTTCACCACCACCTTTGGCCACTACAGTGTTCTGCATCATCGGTGTTTACTTGGTCACGTTTAAACTCCAAATTTAATAACTCCATCTTATGTCTTATGTTATATCGAATTTCCCGCATTAACAATCAAATTGCTACTATATGTTGAGCAACAGTGCTCTAAAGGGTTACTAGAACTGCTTACTACGATTGTTGTGGAAGATATGGTTTTATAGTTTTTTAAAACTATAAACATTTCTTAAAAATATATATTATAAATTATGTGTTTCAAGCTATATCAAATTAAAGTGACTACGAAAAAATAAGGGTATGAAAGCCGTTTGAAAAGCTGAGTGTTTCTGGATCACCCTCCTAAAAGTAATAAGCCCATAATTGCTACAATATAAAATAAAGTCGATTTTCGAATTATTATGTAAAATATTGCATATATTTATTTAGTTAAATATTTGTATGGATTTTATATTGTCTATAATCTTAACTTAATACTTAAAGAATTACTTATGTAGCTACAAGTACATATCTATTCTCTTTTATAATATATATTTATATAAATATTTATCTACAATAATTTTACAAACGAACAAATTGTACATATGTATTTTGTTTTTGTTTTTGTTTTTGTTTTTGTTTTGGTAAATTAAATACAAAATATCTACACACCTTAACACATAGAGTTTTCATAGTTACAATTTCGTAAAATTTTTCTTAACTAGTTCACTGTATTTTCCGAATAAGTTTTTGGCCATGTGCCCGCGATTTGTATCTTAAGTCTACAAATCTTATATACATACGGTACATTCAAATACTTACAAGTATATAAGTATGGTATATAACAAGATTTCTTTATGAGTACATATACATATAGATATATTTTCTTTGTTCAAGAAGTAAGAAAGTAGTCAAATGGAAAAAATATCAAAACAATTTTTATAAAGAAAAAATAAACGAAAAGATAGATAAGTGCGTTCACCGATGCAGTTCAAAACAGTAAATAAAAACCACACTCGATATTAAGTAACGAGTAAAATTTGATTATAACTATTAGTCCCTCTCCCTCACCAATCAATCTTAAAGCGTCGTCAGATCATAATCTTGTTTTATATGTTGCAGGTTTGCCAAAATATCTTGTTGCTGTTGTTGATGCTGTTGATGTTGCTGATGCATGCCAGCATGCAGCTGATTGTTGTTGTTGCTGTTGATGTTATTGTTATTGTTAAGATTGTTGTTGTTATTGTTGTTCGTATGCTGAGATCCTGAGTAATTGGTATTATTGTTGTTGGCATTACACGCATGTTGCTGATGTGGTAACAGCATATTTGTTGTATCACCGGCGGCAGGTATGTACGGAGTATTGCCAAGTGATGAACTGACGTCACCGATACTTTCCAAACTATCAGAACGTATGCACTGCGTAAAGAAGAAGATGAAATAAAGCAAAAATATTTAGTTTAAGAAAAAAAATTAACCAAAAATTATGCTAATTTTGTGCAAAAATAATTAATTTCAGATTTCAGCAAACTCACCTCATTCATCACTGGAGGCTGATGTTGTTGTTGCTGCGTCTGTTGTTGGTGCTGCTGTTGTTGGTGTTGTGCCAGTTTTTTCGCACTCGTCCTCTTTGGCTTTTTAGCTACTGGTGTTGGATTACCATTTGCATCTGTAGTTTTCTTCCTTACATTTTTCGTATTCGGTAATTTATTGTCTTTTTTCCATTTCATCCGTCGATTTTGAAACCAGATTTTTATTTGTCTTTCGGACAGCACCAAAGTGTGGGCAATTTCGATGCGTCTTCGTCTGGTCAAATAACGATTGTAATGGAATTCCTTTTCCAGTTCGAGTATTTGGTGACGTGTGTAGGCGGTACGCTGTCTTTTTGGTTCCATACCAGGCTGATAAGATCCATTCGCTGCAATAAAAATATTTATAAGTAAAAGTTGAAACAGATTTATATGTATATTGTTATATGTATATGGTATAATTTTTTTAAGGTTCGTCGAAAAATTACTATATAAAAATATTTTTAGGATTAATTGGACAGAAAGTTAAACATATGTAAAAATTGTATATTTTTAAGACCATTTTATGGTCTCTGGAAATATTAAAACGCTTAATAGTGCATATAAATATTGTTTTGGACTATAACTTTATTAATTTGCAAATATCACCGATGCTAGTTGACTATACAACTGTTTTGAATATTATACCTATCATCAGAATTAATTATTAAGAATTAAAAATTTACTCCTTGGTTTATTAGTCCGCAGTTAGTTTTATCGAATATAAATACTAAGCTAGGAACTAATAAACCAAAGACTTCTTTTAATACTTTTTATTATTATTAAATTTTATTATTATTCAGACGTCTGATGATGGGTACTTGACAATAGTAGTAACAATAGTCTATAGTATTAAGACCATAGCTAATACCAAGCGCGGTGTGGTCAGCCAAAATGTTTAATTGATAATTGGTATGAAAACTTTATTGTTGCAATTCATTATGGTTTCAAAACTTTTCTATATAAAAATTAATTTCCTAATCATAATTGACTTTTATATATTTTTAATTAAAAAAGTTATTTCGATATAAAACCTTTTCTCTAAACAAAAATGGATAAGATGACATGACTATAGTTAATTGGTTAAAAGAAATATAAAGTAGGAAATACAAGACAAAACTACTAGTTTATATAAAAATTAATACCTTGAAATAAAAAAAAAATTATCTCTAAAGTCAGAAAAAGTATAGTAGTTTATAGAAGTTTATATAAAAATTATCTTGAAATAAAAAACAGTTATATATAAAGCCAGACAAAATTATATTAAAGTTTACATGTAAATGATTATCATAAAAATAAATTATTTTTATTTTATACTTTTAGTTTTCTTGTACATTTCTTTAAAAAATTGGTTAGCAATATTACAAATGATGAATCGGAAGATTCTCAGAGGACAGCGTGGCCCTATACATTAAAGTTGAAAAACCAAACCAGGACATTAGTAAGTCAAGAATAAATTATTGATGGGAAATAGGCAGTCGTAGATTCTTTCATTTAAAAAAAAATTAAGTTGTAAAATTCGATTCATTAAAAAATTTTTTTGTTTAAATTTTAACTATATTGGGCCAACATACTCCCTCATTAAAAAATGTATAAAAAAACAAATTTTAAAAGTTTTTTTAATTTTTATTAGACGTAAAAATATATAAGTTTCTATATTTGTAATAAATTTTGATATAAACATCTTTATTGCGTTTAATTTTGTATATTAAAATGAATATTTAAAAATTTTTTTTAAATTAAATTATATATAAAAAAATTATTAAGAACATAAAAACTATTACTTTAACTTGTGAATCGTTGAATTGTCTACTAGCTTAAAAAAATGACTTCATCTGCGTCATTCAAAATTTTTGAAGTTCTTTGAAATAATCGCAGTTAATCATAAAAATTGATGTAAACTTCTCAGTTGAAGTAATTTTGAAATTCCTTGTTTATGTCAAAAAGAACTGATAGAGTTTATCGCAATTAAATTTTAAACTCTATTTGGGGTTGTCATATCAAAATGAAGTTGAAGATGAAGACAATACCTCTTTATTGTATTATAAAATAAAGTTATCTATTGCGTTCGTCTTGGCCCAACTGCTCAACTACGGAATAAAGGTTAATACCGTTCAGCTGATGTTGTTCCTCGTAGTGAGCAGCTTGCGGCATCGAAAAGTAATCGCAACTTTTCGCGGCGGAGTAATTAATCAACATCAAAAATTGACGAAATTTTTAGGAAACCCCATAACTGATAACTGCGAGTAAGAATTTTCAATTCATTTTCTTCATTGCAACTATTTAGGGTTGCGTAAAGTGCGGAGAAAAAAATTGTTTCAAAATTGGACTAACCCTTTATCACCTTTCCATTACTTAGACAAGAACACAACAAAACTCAACTTCATCAAAAATAAATTTATAGCACCTGCTGCAGTCCTTCGTTGACGTTTTGGAGAAATTAAAAACAAAAACAAAAAAAAAAATAAATAGAAACGAAATAATTTCTCTCACTATTGCTGGACCTCTACTGGAATAAATATATTTCAGCAAGTAGAACTGTCAATTTAAAATGAGCCCAGCTTCCGTCATTCATCTTAAATGTTTTGATTTCTTAAACTTTATTCGTTCATTTGGAAGAAATGGAAGAAAATCCAGAAAAAAAGGAAGATTGAAATATATCAGTAAAAATATTCGCATTTATGTTATTGTTTTATATTAAAGGATTTAGTCATTTTTTTTTGTTTCTGAGAAAAAGATTAATGGAAATTTGTTTTGGTGTAAAAATAACTCATTCAAGTTGAAGGAATATTTTGTTACTTCATTTAAAAGGGACAAACTTTCACACCTCGTTACGAATAATAAATTTAATATTAAAGAGAATATTTTTGTTTATTTAATATATTTTGAATTAATATTTAAATTGGTGTAGAATAAAATATATTAAATAAAACTTAATTTACTTGGCAATATATTGAATTAACCAGATTTTTTCAATTTTTTTGATTTTAAAATTGTATAAATGTGAAATGTAGTTAATATGGGATAAGTAATTATTTTATTTTTTTTAATAATATTACTTTATAAGATTGTAGAAAAAACTAGCACTTGATTGCGTCAAAGATTTGATCTAAAAATTAATATAATTAAAAATTAAATTTTTATGACGGAATTAAAACAAAGAAAGTATCTTGTAATTAGAAAAAGTCAAACAAAAATAAATCGCAGTAACAAAATTTATTATATTAAATTAATTAAGTTTTTTCATATCAAACCATACAGCTGTTTTAAATCTTAGGTGGTCTCATTGAAATAAAGACATAATAGACATAACTCATTGGTTTATTAATCCCAAAATAATTTAACAAGCTTCTTTACTATATATTTGTAATTAATATTTTATTTTATTTTATAATTTTTCTTTATATTTTTTTCTAGTTTTTAGATAAAGCCTGGTAATAATATAATCATAATCATAACACACAATGTGAATATGATATATTCAATATAAAAAATGAATAAATTATAATATAATCAATTATCAATTATAATATGATAATTATAAAACTATCAACGAGCGCCATCTTTAGGAGACGGCTACTTACTAAAGAAAAAAGTATTTACTGAAGTTAAAGTTGTAAAAAAATTGCTTGAGACATCGCTTGGACTTGATATAATACGTAAAGTTACTTTTTGCATGTCTATTAAGCACAATAGGACAAAGAAGACGTACTAACTTCTATTCTATATTGGGCCAAAAATATATATATAAGTGATTATAACTCCCACGTATAGGTTTTTGATTCGATTCTGCAATGATCGTGAGGACCGAGTAATGATTGCCAATAATTCCTTGCAATGACAAAAGTATTAAAAAAATGAGAATATTGTGTATCTGCGAAACTCATCGAAGAGGAAACTGTAATACCGAAAAGCACAGCCTATTGAATTTCTACCATAGATATTGACAAACGAATGATCTGTGCGCTTTGTAGTTCAGGGTTGAGTACAAAAAATATTTCGAGAACTTTGTGGAATGTTTTCAAGGTTCCGTTGACACGGAAGAAGACTATTTTGAATAGTAAAAATAAATATTTAATTAAATATAAGTAATTAAATATACCTAAGTACTTGTACTTGTCAATATACTTGTCTCATAGGAATGGTATTTATTTTCAAAAACGGATCTCACAATTTGGATAAATAATTTACTGAAATCTAAAGCAAACATCTACTTTATTTCTTACACATTATTGGTATATCGTTATCATGATCATTAAGAACTCAAAACAATCAATATGCAAAAAATAAACTAAAATAAACAATGTTAAGGATCATAAAAGTAACAAGTCAAAGTCAAGCTGGCATGAGAAGAGCACTTGCCACAATGCAAAACAAGTGACGCCTGAGGCGTGTCTTCCACATACAGGTGTATTTATTTCAGAAAATGAACTGTTCCCTGCTGATGTAGTTTCATGGGCATTGAAACTTAAAAGGGGAATCATTTAGAATATTATGGTAGATTATTATTTTCTTCATAATCAGAGCAGTACAGAGAAATGACTACAGAGAAGACTGAAGAAGTTGATGACATTAAAATCATCACCTTATGTTAGTTTTAAAATATTTTCATAGAAGCAGTTAATATAAGTACTTATGTTTAAACTTTTATTTTCAATACATAAATGTTTTGAATACCATCGGTATCCTTGTTATCATCGTGTTGAATAGCTATGGCTGTTGATTGTCAGTGTCGTTTTAGATAATTATTGATGGGGATCTAGTTCCTATAAGTTCAAATTACTATTGTCTTGTGTTCGTGAAGACATTTGTCCTATCACATTGAAGTAATGTTCAATATCGTCAGTCTATATAATATAGTGTTTAACTTTTTGATATATTTGATTGAACGTTATTTTTACCAGTCATGTACTAATGTTTGACTAACATATGAATATATCAAATCCATTCATTGTTTTCAGGGTTATTTCATAAAGACCAATGCGACTCTCTAACTACTAGTTAGAATATCATAATCATTTGATAAGTGTTTTTTAAAGGATAGTACTTTGAAAGAGTGGAATGGAATTTTTTCAGAATTTTCTGCTATAAAATATGTAGAACAAAACTTTTCACTAAAGATATTGTAATTACTAGACTTCTCTTCTAATCAGATTCATTTCAAAACAAAATACTGTATAAGAAAACCAAACATAATTTTATTGAAATAGTAGAAGTCTATTTAAGTATATCTTTATATACCTAAATAGACTTCTACTATTTCATTATAATATGTCTGTTTTTACTCGAGAATATTTTGTTTTGAAATTCATCTCATTAGAAGAGAAGTCTAGTAATTTCAATATGTTTA